TTCATCTCATTTCCTCGACCACGAAAATGAAGTTCACCAGCCAGCCAATCTGGGATTATCCACCTGCTGAGAGAGGGAATGGTGCGGGTACCGTCACCATCATCTAAGACTGTAATGGTCACTTCACCGCGGCCATCTACTGGCCACTACAGTCTCACCGAGGTCTATCTAGGCTAATGACAACAGTTCATGCCGGTTACTCCAACTCACTGATGCCTCTAAGTATATAATCAATAAGACAGCGCTATTGGTATAGATGTGTCTACAGAGGCGACCCCTGGTAGACTTCCTCTACAACATACTTGTCTTACTAGGGACTTACTGGGATTAGAATAGAATAAGAAGATCGATGCCATGACCGACTAAAAAGGGAACCAAGTGTCTATTTAGTAAGTAACCAGAAGGCAGTCACACAAAGATCATCAAGACTAACCGAAGAGAGGGTAGGTTTTGAGCTGTAGCTGCCAGTGGTCACACGTCGTTCTCTGCAGGCCACAATATCAGCTGACCACACAACACCAGCTGACCACACAACACCAGCTGACCACACAACACCAGCTGACCACACAACACCAGCTGACCACACAACACCAGCTGACCGCTACCACAACACCAGCTGACCACACAGCACACCAGCTGACCACACAACCACAACACCACCAGATGACCACACAACAACAGCTGACCACACAACACCAGCTGACCACACAACACCAGCCAACCGCTACCTGCAGACCACAACACCAGCTGACCACACAACACCAGCTGACCACACAACACCAGCTGACCACACAACACCAGCTGACCACACAACACCAGCTGACCACACAACACCAGCTGACCACACAACACCAGCCAACCGCTACACCAGACCACAGACCACACAACACCAGCTGACCACACAACACCAGCTGACCACACAACACCAGCTGACCACACAACACCAGCTGACCACACAACACCAGCCAACCGCTACCTGCAGACCACAACACCAGCTGACCACACAACACCAGCTGACTGACCACACAACACCACCAGCTGACCACACAACACCAGCTGACCACATCAGCTGACACACAACACCAGCTGCTACCTGCAGACCAGCTGACACACATCAGCTGACCACACAACACCAGCCAACCGCAGACACCTGCACCAGCTGACCACACCACACAACACCAGCTGACCACACACACACAACACCAGCACCACCAGCTGACCACAACCAGCTGACACAACACCAGCTGACCACACAACACCAGCTGAACCGCACCACACCAGCAGACCACACAACACCAGCTGACCACACACCAGCTGACCACACACCATTACAACACACCAGCCCACAGCACACCAGCAGACCACAATATCAGCTGACCACACAACACCAGCTGACCGCTACATGCTGACCGACCACAATATCAGCTGACCACACCAGCATCAGCCAACCGCTACCTGCAGACCACAACACCAGCTGACCACACAACACCAGCTAACCCCAGCTGACCACACAACACCAGCTGACCACACAACACCAGCTGACCACACAACACCAGCCAACCGCTACCTGCAGACCACAACACCAGCTGACCACACACCAGCTGACACCAGCCAACCGCTACCTGCAGACCACAACACCAGCTGACCACACAAGACCAGCCAGCCGCTACCACCAGCACACCACAACACCAGCTGACCACAGCAACAACATCAGCCACCACACAACCGCTACCTGACCACACAACACCAGCTGACCACAACACCAGCTGACCACACAACACCAGCCAACCGCTACCTGCAGACCACAACATACACGGGATACCATGGATCTCATAGTCCTTCAGTCAGTGACGGGTCTGGCACGATGGTGGTGTTTTATAGGCGTATTTCGGTCCACAGATAGAACTAAGTCTTAAACATTAACTTGCATTCGTACTTGTTGCATTTTGACCCCGATGTAAGGGAATGTTAGACAACTCGTTTAAGAGAGATGTTAACGATAGGTTAGTATGACGTGTTTTATATATAAAGTATCGTTATCGTTGTGGTAAAGAAATCGTTCCGAAACCCCTGAAAATCCTCGTAAGTCGACGTTAGCTTACACGATCATACAGTCGGAGAACGTTTGAAGACAAATGTGTATAGTCGACATTTATTTGACTATTGAAACGGGCAATAATTAATTGACCCCTTCAAATCAGACGCGGATACGATATTCACTTTCCAACTAAGATAATAAACAGCCTTGAATAAATGCACCACCATCTCAGTCACACGTGTATTAACTCATGTGTCTGTCCACATATTCTGCTGGATGTGGATATCAAGACGTTCACGGAATAACTTCCTCATCACGCATTGATTAATGTTATATGCAGGACAAAACATGATCAACTTACTGGCTAGATTAACCCTTCCCTACATGTTTCCCTGTGTTACTGAAACTAGGACGACGGAAGTTAAGCGTCGCCTTCAGCAAAAATATCAAAACCAAGATGACATAATTACAGCGGACCTTGCTTCAAATAATCAAACATGGCGAATTAGTAGAAGTAATAACCACATAGGTCCTCGCCTAAATGCTCTGGAAGAATAAACCACTCCTTTATGTAAATCATTATAACCACATAGGTCCTCGCCTAAATGCTCTGGAAGAATAAACCACTCCTTTATGTAAATCATTATAACCACATAGGTCCTCGCCTAAATGCTCTGGAAGAATAAACCACTCCTTTATGTAAATCATTATAACCACATAGGTCCTCGCCTAAATGCTCTGGAAGAATAAACCACTCCTTTATGTAAATCATTATAACCACATAGGTCCTCGCCTAAATGCTCTGGAAGAATAAACCACTCCTTTATGTAAATCATTATAACCACATAGGTCCTCGCCTAAATGCTCTGGAAGAATAAACCACTCCTTTATGTAAATCATTATAACCACATAGGTCCTCGCCTAAATGCTCTGGAAGAATAAACCACTCCTTTATGTAAATCATTATCTGTTGCTGGGTAGCGGTCCTGGAGCAAAGTCCATCATGGCCTTTCAAAGCTCTCCCTCGACGTCATAGCTGTCACACCAACCTCATTGTGTTCTCTCATACAATGAGTGTACTTCCCACTACATACTGGTATTGTATACTGCTGTATCTAATCATACTGGACAAAATAAGTTAGGGATATTGGTATTTTTGTGATTGATATTTTATCAGTGTGTCAATGAACAAATAGATCATTATTCATAATTTCAACATTTACATATATCCCTAACTATTTTTGTCCAGTATATATACTGGTGTACTATAACATGTCAATACTGGCATCATGCACTATTATATCTTATCATATAGTGGTTTATGTACTGTTGTATCGCATCATATATAGGTATTATGCACTATTTTATGCACATCATATAGAGGCGTCACGTACTAGTGTATCTCATCATACACTGGTATTGTGTACTACTTTATCTCATCATACACTGGTATTGTGTACTACTTATCCCATCATACACTGGTATTGTGTACTACTTTATCTCATCATACACTGGTATTGTGTACTACTTTATCTCATCATACACTGGTATTGTGCACTACTTTATCTCATCATACACTGGTATTGTGCACTACTTTATCTCATCATACACTGGTATTGTGTACTACTTTATCTCATCATACACTGGTATTGTGTACTACTTTATCCCATCATACACTGGTATTGTGTACTACTTTATCTCATCATACACTGGTATTGTGTACTACTTTATCTACATCATCATACACTGGTATTGTGTACTACTTTATCTCATCATACACTGGTATTGTGTACTACTTTATCCCATCATACACTGGTATTGTGTACTACTTTATCTCATCATACACTGGTATTGTGTACTACTTTATCTCATCATACACTGGTATTGTGTACTACTTTATCTCATCATACACTGGTATTGTGTACTACTTTATCTCATCATACACTGGTATTGTGTACTACTTTATCCCATCATACACTGGTATTGTGTACTACTTATCCCTGGTATTGTGTACTATCATACACTGGTATTGTGTACTACTTATCTCATCATACACTGGTATTGTGTACTACTTATCTCATCATACACTGGTATTGTGTACTACTTTATCTCATCATACACTGGTATTGTGTACTACTTTATCCCATCATACACTGGTATTGTGTACTACTTTATCTCATCATACACTGGTATTGTGTACTACTTATCTCATCATACACTTGTATTGTGCACTACTTTATCTCATCATACACTGGTATTGTGTACTACTTATCCCATCATACACTGGTATTGTGTACTACTTATCCCATCATACACTGGTATTGTGTACTACTTTATCCCATCATACACTGGTATTGTGTACTACTTTATCTCATCATACACTGGTATTGTGTACTACTTATCTCATCATTATACTGGCATTGTGTACTACTACATCGCACTATACACTGGTATTGCGTACTATTATATATCATCCTATACTGGTATCATTTACTTTTACCATGTGCTGCTCCACTCTGTCGAGTTACACCTCCCCGTGCACTCCACACTCGCATCACACCTGTTCCCTGCACAGATCGACATACAGTTCCTATTTCGGTTTCTCTGGCAGACGATTACATCTGCACGCGCATACATATCGCAGGTATGTGACTTTGTTTTCATATATATGTATGAACGGACATCACGCACGAGGGGGTGGGGTGGGGTGTCTGTCTGTGTGTGTGTGTGTGTGGCTGGGTCACAGTAAAACCATCTTTGTAACAGTACATGTACATCACACTCTGGTCTTGTTGGTCTGTCGATTCACAACCAGCTGTATCCGGATATACAACATGAAAACAGGACAAATCTTACAAGAGAAAATAGTGACCCTCATAAACACAAACACCCACATACACAAGCCCTGGTCGCCATGTGAAGGACGGGGCTCGTACCCGTGACAGCCATTAGCACGGCTTACCTTTGTGTGAGAACATTCCTGGATACAACAACACTATGAGAGGCGAAGCGAGTATTCCGCTATATCCTTCGTCAGCGGGAACGGCCGCGGGAACTAAAACTCAAGCTGATATTTAGGAACACAAGCAAGTGTTTTCTCTCCTTATACATAACATATCCAGTTTGAGAAGAGGTCGTCCATCCACAACACAGCGTTCCACTTCGCCACAGCTGACATCAGTGTTTATGTTGTGGGGGTCAAAGGTCACCATACCACGTGACCAAATGTTTCATTCAGTTTAGAACCATTTCGTTAACTTACTCAAACCCCTGCATGTTTGTCAACGTCATAAAATCATTTGATTAGCATGGATTGTAACATGACTACCGGCTAACCAGGCGTAGTGCACCCTGCCCCTTTGTTGATCGCTGCTGGAGAGGTGCCAGCTATATTTGAGATTGACGTCATCACAGCAAATTGCTTCAAAGGGACGCAACCCTAGCAGGGCGGCTCTGATCTTCCTGTCGGATAATATCCTAACAACATCACACAACATTATAGACTGTTACATATCTATATCTACCTGACTAAAATTATAGGGTGCTGTAGTCGACTGTTACAATTTCTTTTTAAATGACCAAATGGCCATTCTTCAAAATGCACCTGAATGTATCTGGCAAATGATTAAATACTGGGATTATATTGGTGCTGTACAGTCGCAACGCATAGAAAAGCGGCAACCAGGAGGGGGGGTTTGGAGGTAATGCACCTCCCCTTTGTCCAGATAGTTTCTGTTTGAAAGTTTGTGTGTTGAAACGTGACCAAATGTAATATTTTCATTTGCAACCAAATGAAGCTCGGGTAAGAATTGAAGAACACACAAGTACATAACTCTGTTTAAAACTGAGGTCTACTGAAATTGCAGATTCAGAACCTGAACCTGAGACAAATATACACTTGCTTCATTTAGGAAAACAGACACGCTTCTGGGACAGTGAGACGGTGTGTACGGTGTGTACGGTGTGTACGGTGTGTACGGTGTGTACGGTGTGTATTGTTATTTCCACCATGACTATGAACCCAAACCCGAGTATCTGGCAACTTAGTTTGTCTCACAGTCTCTGAACCGTTAACCTGTGTTCCCTTCCGCCCAGCCCTAACTACAATGTTAAAGCCCTAAAAATGAAGAAAGTTTAGATTTCCACAGATTTAAGCTCCCATCACACTGGGGCTGCTTTCAACATAAAGAGAAGTATTTGTTTCTATCACAATTATATATAGTCAGAGACTAAGCTTTAGTTTATGGGCAACACGGTCTCTACGACGTAGTAACCCCCGGCGTGACTCTGCCTCATCCTCGGCGGTGGACTTCAACCCCGTCGCTGTGTTTGAGTGACTCCACCGCCGACACACGGAAATGCCGACTTGTACAGAGAGTTGGACTCCAGTGACCCCATATCCCACTTCGGGAACATTCATTCCACACCACACTTACATTAAACGACTATATACTACCAAAAACCGTAAATGACCACCTGATACATAATATACGTGGACCGTTAAGATTAAACACAAGGAGTAAAAGATGTCATAAATTCACATATTTCCAATGAAATAATTGCTACTTGGCGAGAGGGCAAACATCACTGCAGGAAACCTTTTATCCTTGTGTCATGTGTCGCCACAGCAGGAAAAAGCCTATGTTTTCGTCATGTGACGCCACAGCAGGAAACAGCCTATGTTTGTGTCATGTGACGCCACAGCAGGAAACAGCCTATGTTTGTGTCATGTGACACCACAGCAGGAAACAGCCTATGTTTGTGTCATGTGACGCCACAGCAGGAAACAGCCTATGTTTGTGTCATGTGACACCCACAGCAGAAGACAGCCTGTTTGCTTCATGTGACACCACAGCAGAAGACAGCCTGTTTGTGTCATGTGACGCCACAGCAGGAAACAGCCTATGTTTGTGTCATGTGACGCCACAGCAGGAAACAGCCTGTTTGTGTCATGTGACACCACAGCAGGAAACAGCCTATGTTTGTGTCATGTGACGCCACAGCAGGAAACAGCCTATGTTTGTGTCATGTGATGCCACAGCAGGAAACAGCCTATGTTTGTGTCATGTGACGCCCCAGCAGGAAACAGCCTATGTTTGTGTCATGTGACGCCCCAGCAGGAAACAGCCTATGTTTGTGTCATGTGACACCACAGCAGGAAACAGCCTATGTTTGTGTCATGTGACACCCCAGCAGGAAACAGCCTATGTTTGTGTCATGCGTGACGCCACAGCAGGAAACAGCCTATGTTTGTGTCATGTGACACCCCAGCAGGAAACAGCCTATGTTTGTGTCATGTGACGCCACAGCAGGAAACAGCCTATGTTTGTGTCATGTGACACCACAGCAGGAAGACAGCCTATTTGCTTCATGTGACACCACAGCAGAAGACAGCCTGTTATGCTGTGTCATGTGACACCACAGCAGGAAACAGCCTATGTTTGTGTCATGTGATGCCACAGCAGGAAACAGCCTATGTTTGTGTCATGTGACACCCCAGCAGGAAACAGCCTATGTTTGTGTCATGTGACGCCACAGCAGGAAACAGCCTATGTTTGTGTCATGTGACGCCACAGTAGGAAACAGCCTGTTTGTGTCATGTGACGCCACAGCAGGAAACAGCCTATGTTTGTGTCATGTGATGCCCCAGCAGGAAACAGCCTATGTTTGTGTCATGTGACGCCCCAGCAGGAAACAGCCTATGTTTGTGTCATGTGACACCCCAGCAGGAAACAGCCTATGTTTGTGTCATGTGACGCCACAGCAGGGAAACAGCCTATGTTTGTGTCATGTGACACCCCAGCAGGAAACAGCCTATGTTTGTGTCATGTGACGCCACAGCAGGAAACAGCCTATGTTTGTGTCATGTGACGCCACAGCAGGAAACAGCCTATGTTTGTGTCATGTGACGCCCCAGCAGGAAACAGCCTATGTTTGTGTCATGTGACGCCACAGCAGAAAACAGCCTATGTTTGTGTCATGTGACACCACAGCAGGAAACAGCCTATGTTTGTGTCATGTGAAGCCACAGCAGGAAACAGCCTATGTTTGTGTCATGTAAAGCCACAGCAGGAAACAGCCTATGTTTGTGTCATGTGACGCCACTGAGGGGATCCGCCCACAGTTTTATTATTGGACAAAACAGCCTATTTGTACAATTTGCCTTGAATGTATCACAAATCAATCATTGGTCGAACTCTAGCGTATCTAATCTATCTCGGCATAGTCCATGTGCATAATAATAATATCTCTGAGCTGACCTCACCCAGACAGGAGAGCCAGTGCATCTTCACTATTTGCAGCAGTGTAACACCATAACCTGATACTCTACAAATCGGCGTTTAATGTTTCAGCAAAACCAGTGATACTGCAGGGATTAGGAACCTTGTGGGAGAGGTATGACGCCACTTAAATCACCATTGCAACAATATCAGAGCGATATCTGGCTAAATGGTTTGACAGCCACGACGCGGCTAACAAACCTGGGGATGGACGCGACAAATGACCCCGAAAGCGAATATCTGTTATCACACCCACCAATAATCCACTTACAAGGAGACAGTATCATTCTACAGGAAGAACAGTGGAACTGGCCTTTGCAGGGAGCTGGCGGCCACATAACCACTGGCAACTACAGATAATTGCAGCTCTGCACTCATGACTGATGGATAGCGACCTCTGGCTATGTAATAGCTGGCCCCATACGGAAGACATCTGCGACCTAACTAAATCAAACGTCTTGTATGCTGCGGGGGTTAGGGAATTAGCGCCACAAAACACAGCGGTTATCTAACAAGATTCTGCAAAAGCTGACAGGCACAGCTACAGGCTGTAACAGCAAGACGAACACAATATGTGCAGGCGACATGTTTGTGTTTCTTCTGAAACCGGAATGAGATCATAAGCCGTCATCAGGCTGAAGGTAATGTTGGTAATCTACAAGGAGATATTTCTAGGGTATCAGTGAGTGAGTGAGTTTAGTTTTACGCCTCACTCAGCAATATTCCAGCTATATGGCGGCGGTCTGTAAATAATCGAGTCTGGACCAGACAATCCAGGGATCAACAGCATGAACATTGTTTTACATCGCACTAAGCAATGTTCTAGCTGCGTGGCGGCGGTCTGTAGACCTTGGTCATACGGTCCAGTGATTGACGTCATTAGGGAACATGAACAACCATCGAGGGTACATCAACCCATAGGCCCCGAGTGACCATTGAACAACGTATTTATCTTACCAAACACCTTAATGTTAATTTTGAATTCATTGAAGAACGGGTACAAATCTTTTTGTAGCCATCGCTAACAAGAAAAACAGATTTAGAGTTATCTCCCTTCCATCGATTTGCATTCGCAAAACATCGGTAATTTCCGTACATCATACGCGATTCAATGTTATTCGAGATAAAGAATTACTACCACGAAGAACCAAATGAGTTGCCATTGACAGCGGGGTACGTTGAAATGTTACTCGATTGTAAGCGGGGTACCTTGAAAATAATAGAAGAGCGCTCAGCCAATCAGAAAGCAACATTTATGTGTGAGGTAAGAATATACCAGCAAGAATCGGGGCATGAAACCTTTATATCCAAAGAGGTCTTATTCGACCAAATATCCCTCGAGTGTCTGCGCAGTAAATTGTCAGAAACTAGAAAACAAATGTGAATATTTTACAAACTGGTGATGATTTTATGCACTTAAAACACGAGTCAATATGCCTGGGAAAAACCTTATCTGCCAGAGGTCTGGAAAAAATTATGACCTCGTCAAACATTTCCACTAAAAGTTTCCATAACAGATTCACCTTATCAGATAGGATTGAAGGCTTAGCCAGGGGCATGAGTCATCGAGCGTTAGTGCAAGGACTGATCGGGCACTGACCGATGTCTCAGCAAGGGTTTGATTGCTGCAAATATTTACCAGACATGCCTTTACCAGTAATTACGCCATGTAAGGTACCAGGCAACTATCTATCATCCGCGTGATTACAACACTGGCCCATGTACAGTACAAAAGTGACTATGTGACAACGTCAGGGCAGATCAAGGTAGGTCAGGGCCGATGTCTGTCCTGGCATCACGTTCTTCAAGGTCAAAAATACAGGTATAAAAAATTACAAAAACGTGACTTTTTAATAACTACTTTTTAAACTAGATACAGATTACGGGGAGAGTTTGCACTCGCCCAAGAGCCTCTTCGGGCATTGCCTTTTGATTCTGTAAACATGGAACTCATTAGACAGTGTCCTAGATTTTCACAGACAATATGGTCGATGTTAACAGGCAATAGACAACTGAATAGACCAGGTCCAGGTACTTAGGTGACATCATACTGGAACACAAAGTGTCCCATAAGCTGGCATTCC